CTCAAATGCTCAAGTTTATCCTTATGTTTGGCAGCACTAGCCTGACTGATGTCCATATCCATAAAAGATACATACTCAAATATCGACTGCTTGAGGAACTTCATGTCTTCCTCTGAAGAAGCAGAAGGACGACCAGTTGACGCAGGGCGAGACGTCTTGACTTGCCCCCAGGAAGTGAACAAGTCCTGGATGGAACGCACAATCTTATCAGCATCCTGCAAAGAAAAATGCCAACATTGAAGGCTTTCACTACAATAAACAAAGTGAAAATAAAAGTGAAGCAAAAGGTTACCTCATCAGCAATCTTGGGGGGTGACATATCACCAGTTGGCTCCACCACCTGTGGCCCCACCACCAGGGGAGACTTCCCCTTGTCTGGGCGAAAACTCTGCCACAACTGGCAGACCCATGGGAGCCTCTGCATGATTAAAGAAGCAACAAATCAGAAACCAAAAGCACAAGCAAAGGTAAAACATCAAAAATGTATTACCTTCTAGTTCGACATTTGGGGGGTCGGCGCCCTGGGAAGAAGGTGGCTCGTCCATTGATTGTGATGAAGGTTCCGGGACTGAAGGTCTCTCTTTAAGCGTAGTCCCTTCATCAGCTGGTTTGGATGAAGCAACTCCAGCAGAGGATGATGGAGCAGGAGCTGCCAACACCAAAGCCTTCAAAGGAGAGGCTGAACTTTTCTGAGAAATTCAAGAAAATCATTAGCACATAGAAAGGTATGCTTGTGAGTAAACAGAATTCAATTCAATTACCTTTCTCCTGACAATGAGAGGAGTATCATCATCATCATCATCATCATCATCATCATCATCATCATCATCATCCTCCAAAATGGGAGATGCTGAAGCTGACCATTTGCGACTTGGGGCGCTCTTAGCTGCAGTAGATTTGGCAGGTAGAGAAGTAAAGGGACGAACAGATTGTTTAGCACGAGCGGGGGAGGAAGGATTCCTAATGGACATAGGGGTGACCAAAATAGGAGAAGTGGAAGGAATGTTCGGTTGATCCAGTGAATGGAAAGCACGATTGGCATCAATTGCAAACAATCTGCGCTTCACTGATGGCCAGAGTTGTTCAAAAAGGGGATGAACGGCACGGTTAGGATTGAAGGGGGCTAATGAAAAGTTACTCGTCAAAAGAATATTACGAGCATCTATAGCTTGTGCCTCTACCTTATTAATGGTGTGAAAGCGGTCTATCAAATTTTTTGAATAACAAGGGGGAACAGGCCAAGTTTGGCCAAAATCGAGTTGGCGAGCAAAAAATTGGAGAGCATATATTTCAACCCCAGCTTTGACATTGGTTCCAGTTAAAATATCATGGAACAACTTCCTCCCAGTCAAAAACTGAACCCAAACGAACAGAGAGACGCTCGCACTGTCCAGGGTAGATGGAGGTTGCACATAATCTGGAGTTAAATGAGCAGGAAAGGGAAAGAAAGAATGAATTGAATTTAAAGTATAAAAGAATGAAAAAATGTCCCTTTTGGACATATTTACAGGGTTCAATGGGTCAATGGCTAGCCCATAGCAGCTAGCAGAACGAAAGGACATAGATAGAGCACCAAGTGATGGAAAATAGGCTCTCAACCCCAGTTGAGCGAACCAAAGAGGCCCACTGCCAGTGGGAGATGCACCATTCTTCAATTGAAATTGGAGAGAAGCCATGCCTCTATAGAGGGCAGCCAAAAAGAAGGAACACAAATTCAAAGGCCTACCACGCGCCAATTCGTGCGCTATGGGTAAATAGCTCATAGAAGGCTTCAAACTGGGCACACACAGAATATATTTACAAAGCCATATATGAAGAAAGGCCACACGCTCAGCGTGGGAAGGCTCAGCGCTTGAGTAATTATGGCAACTTTGCAAGCTTGAATAGGACTCGGTGAGTTTTTTGTCAAATTTTGCAGCAACACCAGAAATCAAAATATCAGGGAAAATGGTGTCGCCCAAAGGTGAAAGATTTATTAGGGCCCCAACATTCCTTAAAGTGATTGACATGGGACCAAGAGGGAAAACAAAAGTATTATATTCAGAAGACCAAAAACTTAAAGCAATAGGAAAAAGTGCTGGGCCAAAAATTGGGGGTTGAAGAGAGATTTCTAATAAATCAAAAATCATGGCACGATCAAAAATTGTCTTGGTAAGACCATGGCCCACAAGGCGAGCATGCCACCTATGAAAAACAACATCAGATTTAGACCAAGTGCGAATACCTTTTTTTGCGAATAGGCCTCAGCGGCAAAGAGTTCAAGAATGGAGGGTCTTGAGTACAAGGAAAAAGCTGGCCCACCGCCACTTGTTCGACGGCTTCGGCGTTGGTGAATGAAGGACCCAGATTGAACTCATAAAGTTCGGCATTGGCTGGTGCAAGAAAGTTCGGATTTACATATGACCAAGTAAGGATTTTCTGAAAATCATCGAAACTAAAAGAGTCGTCAGATTGGGTTTGTGGAGCAGCCATTGGGAACGAAGTACAGTTTTGTTAAGGTTTGCTCGAGAAACGTAGCAGAGAAGCAAAAAGATGAACAGTGGTATGGCGAGAAAGAAGCGCGAAATAATGATACGTGAGTTAGTGCTACAATGAAATGGCGTGTCTTTGGGGTTTATAAGGGTTTGTAGCGTCGCACTTTTTTTAGGCTATGGAAGGAAATAATGATTAAAATTCTTGAGAATTTCAAATGTTACTGGGAAACACAAAGTGAATATGGCAAAAATTAATAATTGGTATTAATTCTGCCATATTGGAGGGTAATTGTTGACACACTAAAAGTGCAGCTCAAATCGAATAGCCCAAGAAATAAAGCCCAATGAAGGAATCCCCAAATCAAATAACTCAAAGAATGAAGCCCAACTGGGAAATTCAAGATAAATGCCCAAATAGGGTTACTAATGAATGCAGTGGAGGCCCACGAACACGATAACATCATCGCTCAAATTTGCAAGACGCCCAAGATTTGAGAGAATGAAGTGCGTTACAATCGCCCAGAGCTATGACCCTATTATCGCTCAGGATCTTAGCAAACATAAGATGTTATGGTTATCCAGTGCAGTTATTGAAGCAGTTATCAAGTAACCTTATCACGTTCGACGATTCAAGGAGTTCAATTGAAGACGGTTGAACGACAAAGAATAGTGGCAGCAGTTAGAGACGGCAGTTCCGCGACACGATAGCCACCATAAAGGAATTGGGTAGTTATAAAATAATCGAGCAGTTTCTAAGCGATTAATCACGAAAAAATCATCAAGGGAATATAAAAGGAAGAGAATACATAGAGCAAAAGACTCCGGAATCAAACACTCTCAAACAGAGAATATGTTATTTCAATTTCTTAGTTTAGACATAAACATTTCTTTTCAGTATTTGTGTGCTTGCGCTCCTTGGAGGTATTCTGTTTAGTTCCAATTGTAAAGTCATCGCCAATAAAACACCCCTTTTTGGGACTTTATCTCAAAAGGTTTATTCCTTACACAATCGTCTGATCCCTTTTTAATTGTTAGCGACTACCCGCGCGAAACAGTTTGTCTAGAGCTCTTTCACACACCATAATCACAATTTATGGAGGCCAATTACATTTTAATAAAATCGACACCAGAATGCACTTCCAAATTCCATAGTTCACAAAAGTTCTTTTTCAAATATCTTGCTTTTTATTGGTGATCGATCCGATAATACAAAATAAGGACTAAGGAAACAAAATAATTTTAGAATGGTTCTAATGAAAATAATCTAATTTTAATTTGAAATTATTGAAATGATTTTGTCTCTTTCTTAACCATCGAATTTTGTGGTAAGCCGTTTTATTTTAGAATAGTTCTAATGAAAATAGGCTAAGTTTACTTTGAAATTATTGAAATGATTCTGTCTCTTTCTTAACCATCTAATTTTGTGGTAAGCCGTTTGCAATAAATATTGGAGAAAACAAACAAACAAACATTATCATTTGGTAGTTGAAATGGCAAGTCACCAAAAAAAGTCAATAATATTAGTAAACTGTATAATTTAATTTAAAATCTACAATATTTCTCTTTTATGACATTTAACATTTTTTATTTAGACGTGTTTTGGTGCATGTTTTTTAAAATTAATTTTTCTCAAAATTATTAAAATCATATATTTTCCCAATAAAATAATTTTATACTTAAATTTATATTTTTTTATAAAAATTAATTTTTACAAAATCTCTTTTTCCAAAATTTACACCAAACAAACTCTTATATTGCTTCCAAGAAAAGAAAAAGATATTCTAGAAGCATAAAAATCCCTTAACTCTTTCTACTGCAATAATGGGATGGGGCGGTTATTCGACATCATGGGATGGAGCAGTTAAGCAAAGAAAAAGATTTAAACTTGAACCAGAAGTTCAGTGCCAATAATTCGAAATAATGATCGAAGCATATCGAAGTAAAAGTTGAAGTACTTTCGAAGACAATAAGTCAATCTTTTTGTGCTGAATATGGCCAATGAATAAGTCCAAAAAATTATTAATTATAAGCTAAAATTGTTTAAAATTATGCTGATACAACAGCTTCTCTACCTTTTATTTAAAGGATTTTTGGACATAATTATCATGCATTATTGTAGCGAACGAGTACAAATCTAATGTTCTCTCACTAAAATCTTGACGCATCAATGCATCATGATAATTGTTGAGGTCTCACCTCAATTATTGTAGTGAAGTATCAAGAATTTTGAGGGACAATAGAAGTGAGAAGAATTAATTACATTATATGTTTATTGCATTGTACTGTCTATTGACTCGTGTATTTTAACTTAGGATCTGTTTGGCACGACTTTTGAAAGTTAAAAAGAGTTTTTGAGATCCAAAAGCTGTTTTTGGATCCATTCGACTAATTTTATGATTATATTTTTTTAGTTAGAAGAGTTTTTAAACGAAATTGATCCAATTTTTAGATAAAAATTAAGGTAAATTCCTCGAAAATCTCTTCTACATAAAGCAAAAGTAGAGGTTATATCGAATGGGCCCTTAAACTTATATACTTTGCCAATGTTCGACACAGTTTTTCTTTTGCCGTTGTAGGAAGGAAACTATGACAAAGCTTTTGTACCTTGAGCCCAACCACTCCAGTTTCCTTAAATTCCTTCAACTTATTTGTAATCTGTGAAAACAAACCAAAAAAAGTCAAAAGTCTCGCAATTGAAAAGTAAAACCATCTTGTCAATCTTCTCAATGTTGGTCTACGAACACCAGATTTGATCTTCTTATCCCATATCTACAACCACCATAATCTTGATCGTATGGAAACCATGGCCGTTGATCATATGATCATCACAGATAATCCAAGGCGAAGAATCTCATTTTCTGATGAATTTGTAATGTTTGAAGACACCCCATATCGCTCAGATTCTGCACAGATAGACTCAACTTCTGATTTTGATTTCTGCATTACCAGCAAAGAAACTTGTCCAGCAGATGAGCTATTTTCATATGGCATAATCAGACCTCTTCAACTTCAAGAAAAGTTCATCAATTCGAAACAATTGTCGACGTCTAAGCCTCCACTTCCATCTCCATCTCCTCCTACAAATCTGAGTTTAAAGCAGGAAATTATGGATCAATCTGATCAAAAGCATCAATCAAAGGCACCTTTCTGGCATTTGAAGAGAAGTAGTAGCCTTCATTATGATCACAGTTCCAAGAAAACTTCGATTTGGTCTTCGTTATCACGTTCTAATTCAACAGGCTCTGTGCCCAATTCAAAGAAGCTGTCCAAGAATTCTGTGGCTATATCCTCACCGTCTTCTGCAAAGCTTTGTTCACAAAAACCGCCATTAAGGAAAAATTCTAGAGGGCTTAGTCCTGTATTGAATGGGCCACCTCCTTCTATTATTTCTGTGAGTCCTGGTAATCTCTTTGGTTTCGGGACATTGTTTCGCAATGGAAAAGGCAAGAACATCAAGAAATGATCCTCGTGTGATTGACCATCATTAATTTATTCATAATGATGTTTGGAATGTTATGTTCCGCTCTGTAGCCATTTTTTGTGAATTGATTTTGTGAAAAATGATTTTTCTAGATAACGTGTGGTTAAAAAGTAGGTAAAAGGTATGGATTTACCGGCAAAATTATTTTACCGAAATAATACGGAGTTAAAAATGGGTTTTAGAAAATAGTGACAAATAGGGGCTATGGAAGTTATCATGTTTAAAATAAAATATAAAAATGAAAAAAAATGTTTTAACCTTCGGGGTTGACAGAGTGAATTCCTCTAAGTCACCAGTCACCTTGTTTCCCTCATTAAATTATTTTATTTTTATTTTTATTTTTATTTTTATTTTTTATTTTTAGACCTACTCCACCTCTTCATCGCAACCGGTTGTGGGACTCCTCTTTCTGTCTTGAAGGAAGATATTTGCTCGAGAACCACACCTATGAAGCTATCACTTACTCAGTTACAATTCCTTTCAGAGTTATTCTACACGTACAGACATTTAAGTGTATATATATTGTACAGAATATTCACATCAGATTTTTTGACAATAAAATATTCATGTGGAATCCATTCATTTTGTGAGATCTGTACACATTCTGTACACTTAAAATTCTGTACACCCATTTAGTGGTCAGCTTTCCAGAAGCTTCACCAAAAAGCAACAACTAGCTTTATTACCAAGGCACAACCTAAAAAAGCAAACTCATCTGAATATATATTAGGTTGATTGAATGAATGCATCAGACCACTTTTCGAAGTAATACCTGATCAAATTATATCCTTGCCTGCTTCTTCCACTTCCTTTCTTACTTGTAGAACTGTTAGACTCACATTCATTCGAGCGTTTGTTCGGTGACAGTGTAATTTTAGGAGAGTGGTTTAATTATGCATCACTTTCTTTTTTCAATTCATTTTTAGATTTATGGGAAGAATATAAAGTATATCGTATATACAAATCAATGTAAAGAATTATTGAATGAGAAATGGCAGAATTAGATGTATAATAGAAGGGATAAGGAAAGACAAATGATAATCAGAATTTATGGAGAGTTCGTGAATTTTCATGTTGATGCATATCAATATGTCACTAGGTGAGGGGACATAGAAACACAGCTAACCTTGTTTAATGCTTGTCCATTTCGTATCTTCCTTAAAACTTTTTGTATTATACTTACCTGCTTTGAACATGCACTTGACAATGTTTGATATGTAGGATTAAACCTAATGAATAATAAAAAAATGCTTTTCGTGTTGATAGTGCAGACCAGCATACCATATTAATATTTATCCAACTTCACTTAATGCTATTGTCATTCATTTTTGATCGATTAGATAACACTCAACCATATTAAGAAAGAAAAAGAAATTAGAATCTTGTTCATGGTACTCGTTGATAGAAAAAAAAACATTTGTCGATATCTAAGTTTGACAGAATGTATAAATATAATAAACACAAAGAAATTATTATATTCTCAACAAGTTCATACAGTTTGCCTATAAAAATAACTTTCATACGCTAATTCATAATATGTGTGACACACGTCTGAGGCACGTTCAGATTATGAAATCTAGTCATTTGTTGATTTGGTCTAATAGGCAAGTTTCCCCCAGGTATTATCAGCATTTTTGGTAGGTTTGAGTGGACTCGACTCTACAAATGACAAATTAAAGACGTATCAAGCCACATTCTCTCCGGCCTCTTCACATAACAATGAACTCGGGCAGGGGCGGAGCCTCACTATGTCCATATGCCCACACTGAATTTTTAGGCCCAACCCTATATATATATAATTTTATTTTTATTTTTATTTTTTTTAATATTAGCAATGGCCCATGATTCAATTTCACCACTACCTACCAGCAGCCCAACCTAGCTCTTACGCAAATCCAATCCAATCCAAGGTGAACTTAATTGGATGTTTTACTAAGGTTAGATACAAGTTGCTAATTTTAAATCATGTATTAGCTATCAGTTTTGTTAATTGTATTCTGCATATAGGTCGTGATTTGTGAATTTAAATTGAAAGTTGTGCTAAGGTTGAGAGTAATCTGCTTGATTTTAGGCATAAGTTAATTTGAGATTCACTTTCTTTTGCTTCCAGCTATTTGTTTTTGTTTTCAATTACTTGATAATAACGTTAGTATACAACGATATCAAAATATGAAAACTTGCAAGGAGCACGTTTAGTTATAAATTATGTCATTTTTAGTATTATCGTAACTTGTTTTATAGTTTTATCGTCATTAAATTCATGATCAAAACTCAATGTTCGACGTGGGTTAAATTATGCTTGCACTGAACAAATTTTTTGGCTTCGCCCTTGAACTTGGGGTAAAAACACATTTATCGGCAACCAGTATTAGACGACAGAGTGGATAAAAATCTCATTCACTATTGTTCCAACAATTCGAGACTTTTAGTGAGTTAACCAGATGAACCAAATTTCACGCTAAAATCAACAAGTGTGTATGTGTGTGTGGTTATGAACAACTTGATAAGCATTTGAGAACCACGTCATCAATTTTGATCTGACAAGCTGTATGTTAAAATGGTGAAGCGCTGATGCTCTTTAACATTTTTTTTAATAACTCAAGTGTCCAAATTTCGCCTGACTAATTCTGAGGAGTGGCGGCCTTCCCCCTAGTTCGTCACCCAGGTAAATCACGATGCGGCCATAGCTTATACATATTTGGGCCGGACATTTGGGATACGATTTTTTTCCCTGTAGACCTTTCCTTTTCGACATGCAAATAGGACCCCTAGAGGGACGACAACATGCACCATGATTTTGTCTCCACAGGACAACTGCGTTCCAACAAAAATGTTGCCTTCCGGCTGTCGTTGGGATTCGAATCTCTGATGCTCCGTATAAAACCCTCCTACTTTACCACTGCGCCATACCTGTGGGGGTACTTTAACATTTTTTCTCCAGAACAAAGTAGTAAGGTAATTCAACGTCTTCAAAGAATATTTACAGCAATTTACATATAGAAGTTGAGATATGTGCAGAAATTGAAGGCATGTCACATTCTTTTTGCACTCCAGTTATTTTTTTTTTATTCTTATGGGACCCCAAATATCACTGTGAATCATATAAAATGGCTTTGAAGTTTGATACGAACGTGATAGAGATAGGTGTATCGTGTGTGTTTTGCCAATTGACAGATTTCACAATGAAAAAAATGAGCTTCTTTACACTTGAAAAGTGAGGGAAACAGGACGCTTAAATATGAAACACTAGGATGACCTAGTCTCTTATGCCATAATATTATTTTGTCTAAATAAAAAAACACCAAAAATTAAAAAAAAAAAAAATTCACCCCCTAAGGGTTTTAAATTGTCTTCTCTCATTAGAGTTGTGGTCCTTCAATAGTACAACACATCTTCTTCTTTAGCATTGTCAATCGCCTTCCTAGAAAGTAAATCCTGAAACTCACAAATAGAGGGGGCAAAGTTAGCTTTACAATTCAATTCCTTCGTTAATTGCTAATAGAAATTATGTTAAATGATAAATTAGGAACATGTAAAATAGAATGAAGAGTAATCTATGGTGATATAAAAACAGTTCCTTTGCCAGCAATTGATGATAGAGATCCATAAGCAATTTGAATTTTTAAAGATCTAGAGCACGGGTTGTAAGTGGAAAAGCGCCCATGGTTTCCAGTCGTATGATCTAAGGCACCAGAATCAATAATCCAAACATCATTAGTTGATGACTTGGAAGTCAAAGCATAAGAAAAACTACCTTTTTGAGCAAATGAACAAGACTGATTGGTACTAGGCTGAACATTTAGTTGTGTTTGAGTACTAGGCATAAAGATTTTGGCTGCTCTTTTAGTCTCCTCGGCAACTGCTTGAAAAACTTGTCTATTGCCTTGTCTTCTGGGTTGGAAGTTTGCTGGCCTACCGTGTAATCTCCAGTAGTCTCTTGGTTATGATTTGATCGATGACAGTGATCACACCACACCCCTTTTTCTCCTGTTCGTAGTTTACTGCTTACTCCTCGATAATCACTTTTGTTCATCCTTTGCCCATTCGGTGATTATCGCTGATGATCTCGATTTATGGTAGTGAACTTGCGAATTGCTAGCGCCGAGTTCTGTAAGGTTGTCATGGATGGTTGTTCAAAAGAGTTTTTGAGCATGACTCACTTCCTACTCTCCTCTCTTCGAACCTCAACAAAAGCCTCATGTATTCCTAGCAGCAGCTTAGTTCTTAGAATACACCCTCGAACCTCATCTAGATCTTTATTCAGGCTTTGGAGAAAGTCGAACATCCTCTGCTGATCTCGTCGTTGTGCATTTTAAGAGCACAATCGGGGCAAGACTATTTTATGTCATCAAACATATCGAGTTCTTGCCATAACCCAATAAGAGTATTATAGTAATCGGTCACTGAGGAATCTCCTTGCTTCTTATCTTTGAGGATCAACTGCAGTTCAAATAACTATGAAGCATTACCAAGATCTGAGTACATGGTTGCTGCCATGTCCAACACTTTTTAGCTATTTTGTATGAAAGATAATTTCTCCCTATTTTTGGTTCCATAGAATTAATCAAACATGTTGGAATTGGTTCAAAAATCAATCGAATTAATAGAAAAAAATTGGTTAAGTATGAAAAGGTGTGACTTCGTGTCAACTTCGATCAAATATTCGGACTTGATCCCATGGTTAAATTACAAAAGTAAATAGACTAACTTATTCCGGATGAATAAGAAATTGCAGTTCAAAGTTGGAAGAAATGAAGTGTTGCAATTTTCCGAAATGAGGTTTTGGCTAAGTGTTGCAATTTTTTGAAATGATGCATGTTTTGGTCCACACTACTTTATTTACACCCTTCCTATATCTAAATAGGACCCTTTGGACGTGGTTTTGAGTGCACCATTGCATTGAGCATTCATTCTTCTCTTGCAATTCATCTTTCTCTCATTCTCATGACATTCCTTTGTAGAGGGAAAATTCCGTTGACGTTTCGTCGTTCTTGTGGTTTGAAGTGCTGCTATCACAAGTGTGTATCCGT